CCTCTTCTTCATCCCCTCCTTTTCCTTTCACCGCTCGGCGCCATATGTCACGATTTCCAATGGGATCGTGGCCTCGTGCCCTGATAACGATCGGTACCATATTTCACGCGTCTTCGAAGTCGATCGCGGATCGATGCAAAAATTCGTACACGCCCCACAGTGGTCCAGAATTAAAACCTTTAACAGCTCATACCACTTATTGAACTCGAGTAATTAAACGTGTTGAAACTTATAAATTTTATTGAAATAAAATTAGACAAACGAACAAATATTTCTCTAATTTTAGAGATTCTTTTCGATGACGTCATTATTCAGTATTAGTGTTCTCATATCCTTATGAAAATTTGAATTCCTGGATGATTCTTTTTTCTTATTTTTGCCTGAGTGTAATAGGACACATAAAAGGTATGAGACGAACAATAAGGCATGGAACAAATACCAACTAAGTTCTTTGAATGATGAAAGAAATTCGTTTTCGACCATTTGAGCTGCCTTAACTTTTGTTTCTGGACCACTGTGCGCCTCCCATGCGACTGTATTTTGGTCCTGCGTTATTCCGAAGCAAGGGAAGCGCGTGATTTCTTTTAGAAAGCAACCGCTCGGAAACAAAAAAAGAAACGGGAGTCTGGTAATTCGCGGGAGGAAGCGTTGTTTCACGGGACACAAAAGGGTATGTTCATCTCTCGAGGGACACTGGCACACACGTGCACGTTAATTTTTTTCTTTCGTTCGAGCATGATTCCAGAAGATACAACGAATATTATTGTAAATAAATATTCATTAGGAGATTCCCCAACGAAAAGGAAAAGATATCCTACCAATATATCGGCGTTATTATTCATATATACATTTAAAATAAATACAGTAGAAAAAAAACCGAAAAAGAAGTATCTCCTCTGGTCCTGATAAATTCGTCTCTGAAGAGGTTAACGCGTGACTTTTATTCACTCCGATGAATCAGGTGTTCCCAGAAGGTATAGGTTACGTGTGGGAATTACGATTTGGGAAATCGAAAGTCGATTGGTTGTCGAGTCTCCGCGAACAGTCGGTCGATTTGGCTTCCCTGTTCCGTTCGAGCGCGGACGGGTAATTAGCGTGGAAACCCGACGACGTGGATTTTAAATAGAAAACTGAACCGAGGCAGGTGTCCGCCGCTGGCAATTAGAAATTGCAGTCGTCGCCACGGTGAAACGACGTTTAGTCGGAAACGTAATATTAGATTATGATGCTTGGATACTTGGCGATAACTTTCTAGCTTTTTCGGAGAATAAACTTAACCCAGACCTAATACTATTTCGCGAGCCACGGGACCATTAACTTCGCAATGCCTGTCCCTAGGCCACCTGCCGGATGGACGATAGATCGATGTAATTTTCGTCTCTCCTTGTATTGCCGTCTTTCTGTTTTAGGTCAAGTCCGCCGCCAGATCAGTTTTAATCCATCGTTCAATAAGGATCAGGCGAATTTTCTTAGGTTAAAGATGACAAAACACAAAAGAAAGTACAGTAAATCCTCGATACGACTCGGACAATCGGTATGATCCTTAATGGGACACAATAGGAATAATGAGAGATCAACCAGGAACTCGGTTTTCCTCCGTTGTTCAATTACCCCCAGTGACTCATGAACATTTATATACCACGTCTGTTTCCGTGCTAATAAAAGCACACGCTAATAGACTGATCAACATTTCTGCCCGGCGATACAACAATGAATCTCTGGTTGCATCGGAACAGGAAGAAAACCGCGTCGAGTCGGCGGACCGCGTTGAATTAAATTCACTCAGTCTCCTGTGTTGTTCCTGAATAAGAATAATCGTAGTTTATTTATATGTGTTTCGTTGAATTCAACGGAATTGTTCGGTGTTTAACGGTGCATCACGCCGGTTGCACGCGTCGCAGTCACGCGCTCGCCGTTTCCGTTTCAGCCGAAGGAGAGACCGAGAAACGATCGTTAGCATTCCAGCCGGTCATTCCTTTAAATAGACCTGCGACCGAAGGTTGGCTCGGGGGAGAGTTCGTTCCTTTCTTCGATTTTCTTCCTTGCCGACTAGCGCGAAGGACCCGTACACTACGCTAAAAATACCAATGCCTGCCGTTGTTTCATCCGCGAAGGACGAGCGCGGAAATACGACCGTTGTTGATGGCTGTTCTACCTCGTTTTAATCGGTGAATCGCGATTGTATAATTAATTATGCCAATTACGAAGATACACATTTGACTTCCTGGATGCGGATGAGAGTTCTCGATTTAGGAAATGAAATCCTTACAGAAGTAATGAGAATTGTAAGTTTTAATTGTATTTATTAATACGAGCTCGGTTACCGGACGTTCGAAACACAGACACACCAGAGACAGGGTAAATTGGCGATTACGACCTGGACTAAACTCTTGAAGCACTCCAGGGCTGGAAAAGACCTAATGAATTCTCATCACTCACGAAGTTCTGTAACCGTTCCCCTAAAAGTGTTTTCACTCCTTTATCTTTCGTTCCGTGGAATATTCATCTTTCGATTCGCGTGAAAGGATAATGATTGCAAATAGATGTACAGTCGTAACACACAACTGTTACCACTTCCTCGTGGAGATCCATCGATCCAGCGGCGAGAGCCAGGTAAATGGCTCCAGTCGGTCAGCGAGGATCGAGGAGGAAGTGCACGCGGTTACGTTTACTTATGTTTTTTTTTCTATTTTTCTCGCGGTCCACGAATCGACGATCCTCGATCTTGAGCGTGGCTAGAATATACAATTTAGAAAGGCGATCGACGGTAACGGTTACGCGTCGTATTACATACGTCGTTCGAATCTTGTAAAATCATTTCTGTACTCCCGAATTACGCAAGATGTGTCGTTTTTTTTTTTTTTTAAATTGTAATTTTTCACGATCACAACACCGAGGACTCCTCTCGAATTTACATAATCGAATAACAGGAGGATTATATCGAACACGCGCGAGTATAGTCTCGTCGTTGAAGCCGTTCGCCGTTTCTCTCCGTTCGTGTCTCTCAAAGGGCAAATTCCTCTGCCTGCTAGAATTAACGATAATCCGCGATCAGAGCCCGTGGACGAGCGGCCAGACGCTTCGTTCCGCAATAAAATTTTCGGTACGATTACACCTGTGCTCCGTGACAAGGTCGGATACGTATTCAGTTTGAAGAGATCATTCGACACCTCGTCGCTCCAGTTCATAAGTGTTCTATCTCCAATAGTTTCTGAACTGATAATAAACTGAGTTTATAGTTTACGAAGTTACATATTTTATAGAAGCAGGAAGGTAGTGAAATAATCAAACACACTGTAATATCATCTATTGAATAGCTATTTATCCCAATACTTACGAAAATTTTATCTTATTATCAACATTAATTTTTCATTGTTGTTAGTATTTGAAGACACAACCATTAAGTACACACATGTTGTTTGAAAAATAAAAACACTGACGGCAACAGCATTCGAGGTTTGGTGTTACGTAGAGTCGAGGAACGACGGTGGTATAAAACACACACCGTGAAATCACGGGAATCCCCTGTCACGGTTTCATAAAGGGTAAATACCTGCAGCCAGTCCACAATGACTTTTTGTGTCTAGTCATCGGGCTCGCCTGAGGTGTACAACCCGTTGGCCGAAAGATTCGCGAGAATCTTGGCATTTACCTCGAGGATGGCGCAATGGCCGCCCCGCGAGTGCAGATTTCCTACGACTGTGTGCTCGTCACTAGTTCCAAAATGCCAGTCGAACCCTTCCCACCCACCCTGCGCTGACATTTCGGCCCTGGAACGAAGAAACTCGTGGAATCGGATTTTCCAACGACTAGACGCTTCCATCGCGTCACGGACATACGTGATGTGATTCCTCTCAGTTCCTCTCGCGCATTCAATGGACCGAACCTCCACCGATCGTCGGTTTCCCCTCGTCGTTTCTATGTTTTTCTTCCATTTTTCTTTCCTTCTTTCGCTACGACTTGCCTTTTTTTTTAACGTTCAACGAAATCATCTCGAACATTGTGGGAATTTGATGATCTCCCGTCGACAACCGTGTTCCCTCGTAAACGGGGCGGTGTTTTATGGGAGGAAGCGCCGCGTTGCAGGCTCGTAAACGTCCGATCGATCCGCTGGTTTTACTGCGACGCAGACTTCCTCGGGGAGGAAGCGCGAAGATATAGCTAGCAAACTGTTCGCGAGGCCGAAATTATTGCAATCGGCAGGCGGCTATGAATTGCCAACCTGAAAAAACTTTCGACTCGTAAAATTTCGAAGAAAGTTCGACCTGTCGTGTGAATTTTCGCTGGACCAAACGGATCCACGTGCTTCGTTGACCTCGTGTCGTCTCGTGTCGTTGTTGATTTATGAATTTTACCGGTGCATTTAACGTGTCTATTTTAACCGTTCAGTTTCGAACTATACGATTGATATGCGTACGGTAAGAATTACCGAAATGTAATTTCGATGACACGACGGATAAAATGCGTCAAATAATATCATTTATCGTAGAAAAGAGCTTGTAAAATTGGCAAAAGTATAATTTGTTAACATTCGTTTGAAGAAATTGGGTGTCACCCCCACGATGGTTTGACCCGATAGGGGTCTGCATCCCCCTAGTGACGCCACTGCACCTATCCACCATTCAGAATCCACCTGTACATCGGCGAGTCTGGCACCAAGTGTGAAGCATCATCACTCACGCCCAAGTTCAACCGAGGAATCCTTCCCCCCGATTGTGACACCTCGAAGGTATGTGCCCTCTCCCCCAAAGGGGGTAGGGGGGCCTCGATCCTACGCCACTGCGTGCAAGAGCAGGCCCCCAGTAGCCGTTGGAGATCAGCGGACAGGGTCCCATGCACAGGAGACGTGTGCGTCGTATCCCTACAGCGCGCGCTGCTGCGTTCAGCAGACAGAAAAGAGGGGGCCCATCCAGGTGGTGGTGGAAATATAAGGCACGCGGAGTGGCAGGCCACAGTCAGTCCGTGAGCGGTACCCCTACACCTTCAAGGTCCGCGTCCTTGAAACCTACACCTATCTAACATCGGCTCGTGACACGAAGAAACCAACGAACAGATAAGGGAAAGGGAGAGAGAGACAGAGACAGAAAAAAACCAAGCGTGCGCCCGCGAGCGCTCGATCCTCGAAATACCCTCTACGGAATAGTGCTTTTTTAATTGTTTTTGTTCACGAAAACGCGCGTGTCAACCTTTATCTTTACGCATACGGGCACACACACACACACACACACACCGGTCATCCTCGTAATTTTCTGTCGAGATCGGCTCGATAGAGCAATAGTGTGGCCAAGGTGCAGGAGCCGCGTGGATAACCACCAGAGACGGGTGATCAGAACGTGAGATACCACGACTAACGAGGGAAACGTCGTACCACTTCGGGGAGGAACAAGGAAGCCGTCGTGCTCCTTTGCTGAGGAGGAGGATGAGGTCCTCGCTGGTGCTGCTGTTCCTGGCAGCGATCGTTTTCGCCGGTGAGTAACGCGCAAGCTCCTCCCCCCCACTCTCCAAGGCCTAACGATCGTCCAGGGATCACTACGATTAATCTCAGCCCTGCACACACACATCACTGTGGGGGACGAGTGGGGGACAAAGACTGAACCCGTATCGTTCTAATCGGATCGCATTGCGACACCGATGGGTCAGATTTAGGGGACCGCGGGCCCAACACAAAGGTGTCTAGCTAGTGATATAGAATGGAATATGATGGCGACAAAAAGATCCTCAATATGGAACCGTTATTGCATAGCCTAAGCTAACAGAACTCCTAATCGCCTAAACAAGACAGGGATATATCCTGACAGAGGAGTGATAGACCACCCCAGGCCCCGCGATACGACACGTCGAACGGTTAATTGGAATCCGTTACAACGCTCCGCATTAGGAGCCGCCAGATGTGAAATGCTATCCAATGTGTACTGGGACCGTTTCCCGAACGTGATTTCCTTCGTCGGTTATCGGGCCGTTCGCGGATCGTGGTCGAATTATCACGATTAACCAACGAATCGACGTCGGTTTATAGAAAAAAAAAATATATATATATATGGCACGGCTAAATCACCCCCCGTGAAATTCTGAATCAATGAAGCACACACAATCGGGAATCAATGGTGAACCATCGATCACACCCGTAACCGTGCCCCGGTGTGTATCGGTTCGCGCGAGGTGACGGAAAATCGGTATAGGATTCCAGGTGGTCGGCAGAGACGACCACCGACCGACGACGACAGGTTGCATAAGAGATTAGAGCGTGAAAGCCTCTGGACCTGGTGTCGGTCCCGGATGGGTGACGTCACTGCCGTGCCCTGAAAAACACACCTGGGTGGGGAGGAAGGGGGGCGCACAACTTTCCCTGTTTGTCGCGGCGCACAGTGCTGAGAGTGTAAACGGGCGTTCAGGACGAAAATCATAACTTCTGAACCAATCAGTTTTGCGACCCAAGTACCACAATACTTTTTTCAACCCTTTCGTTACCAAATGATTCAATAATTACGATAATATATTTATTTTTTCGCTATATTTTTGTCTGCATCGTATGACACGTACTGCCCTCCTTACTTAGAATGTCCAATCTAACAAATTATCATTTTTCTTTTCCGAGCTTCTCCGAGAACCTGAAGAATTCAGATTCATCGGGAGAATATGGACTCGAATATTTCCATTGGCTTCTTCCTTTTTCCTCTTCTTCTTGAACACCACCGAGTCTTGACTTCCATGCAGAGAAGATTCCGTTGATGGTTGAGGAAATTTGAATCTTCTTCGTTTCGATTTATCTTCTCTAGCTTGGGAATTGTTTATGCATTCTATTGGTTGTTCGTCGAGAACCACCACGAAACGACCCTTCGTTTTTCGAGACGATCCATATATTGGTATTATTTATTAAGTAATATAACCTGGCCCGTATTAATAAATATTGCCTGGTTCTTCAGCAGGTTCGATTTTTCCGAAACCTGTTGATCCTTTGACAGTTTCGCTGGGTTCTTGGAGATTGCTTTCATGTTCAGGAAGTGGTCCAAATATGAGCTGACACATTGGTGCTTGAGAACTGATTGCCAAGCCTGTCGAAGATTTTCAATACGTAACACTTTGATGTATCATAGTTGCTTTATGATATGGAGTTAAAAATAACCTTTTCCTTTTCTTCTCGAGTCCTAGTGTCACGCTATTCCCGCTATGCATTAAGCAAATATGTGATGGGGTATGTAAATATTACGGTCCCTGGCCACAGTAATGTGATCACTTGAAAATTGTACTCGTATAAGCCAACATTATTACAAACTATTAGATTAATGTTAAACACAGTGTTCAAGAAACAAAATTGTTGTCATTATATGCAACAAACATTTTAAATCAATATTTGGTTATTTCCCGTTTCCCGCTGTGACAGCACGTACTCGTCGAGGGCCATACTCTGTATGCACTCGAAACACAATTCTTTTAATTGTTCACTACCAATATAGTTTCCATACATTCTCAATAGGATCAAGGTCAGGGTTTATTTGCTGGTCAATCCAGGAATGGAATATTGTTCGTCCTGGAATGAATGTAGCCGTAATGACACGGTGCTCCGATCAAAGAAAAACAATTACCAAACGTAGACAATTGGTTACATTAATATGGTCCAGGGTACTCTAGTTACTTTTACCGCTGAAGAACTTCACTTGCACCTTGGCTTTTGCCTACGAATCCCATTCCACCACGAGAATCACACCCAGAACTTTCCTTGGCCTGTGTCAGGTTTCCCTCTTTCGATTTGGCTTTCTACATCCACTGGATCGTCTCTTCCTTCTCAAAATGGCGCCGAAATGTTCTTCCTCATGGGACTCATCCCACTCTCGACTCGAGAGGGGAAAGAGGGGGCGACCTTCTCCGCGTGGCCTCTTCGACAGGATCCGACTTTCTCCTGAAAACCAATGATCAATCGTCGAACAACTCTATATACCCTGAGGTGATGTCCTCCTCGGTGATACGGGGAATTTATCGGCCTCGGTTTTCGGCGCCACAACTGAATTCGACCACGTGACCGCTAATAAAACAATGTCGAATCGAAAGGCCACTGGGGGGGGGAGGGGGTGGCAGCTTTCTCCAGTTCGTTGTTGCTTCGATATCGAAAATCAACGGCAAGAGGGGCCCCCTGAACTGCAAGTCGAAGAAATCAAACATCCGTGGTCTCGTTGTGTCTTCGACTTTCTCGACGACCACGTGGAAGCAATTTAATCGGGACGACAATTTTGTTTGGTGACACTTTTCATTACGAATATCTCTAGTTATTCAAGTACTGAATCACTTATGGGGAATTAATGCGATAACCATTGACTTTCGTACGACCGCGTTTACATAGAAAAAAGTTACCCACATCAGAAAATTTGTCCCCTGATGTCATTTAACTTTTGTCTGAAATCTTTTTTTCGATGATATTCGAGTGGGTCGATTTAAATGGGACACCCTGTATAGTTACAATGAACATTCTCGAAATGATAATTTTCTTAAATTGACAAATAATCTTCATTAGATAAGAATTTTCCTAAGTTCTGAGATCTTTTGTCGGTTTAATAGTTTTTATATTACTTCCGACTTTGATTTGCACAGAGCACTGTACACGTCCAGTCCGAAGAGTTAACTGTGCTACGATCAGTTTATGTATCGTGGTTCTTTACCCAACGCGATCGGTGCACCAGATTATTACATTCTTATGTAATTATTTTCTGTGCAATAGAATTTCTATCGTACGTTTTCAATCATACGAGATACGTACAATCTATTTCTGAAACGAGATTTCCGTAAATGAATATTTCATTCGGTGATAACTAGACTGTGGATTTTATTCATAGGGGTCTGTAAAATACAGTAAAAAACAAAACTTTCGTCAGATCCAATCAGTTTTCTAGTTTCTTCCAAACCTAATATGATACTTAAGAAAAGAAAGAAATTCTTACATTTGCTCTTCCCTGTATAAATTGCTTTAGAAAATACCATTTTGCATAAAAATCCGCAGTCTAGTGATAACGTTACGCAAGCAATGTAAATATTGGCCGAATTGCGCGCGGGACACTGGCAATGCGTTACGTAAATACAATAAGATTTCTTTTCCACTTCCTACTCGCGTGAATATATAAAAGCATCGACACACGGCTGATCGATTTGATCGTAGAAAAACAAAACATAGAATCGGTGTCGGCCTATTTCCCACCGGTTCGGTAAGAGTTACACAGCCGAAACGGATTGTCGGCATATTCGCCGAGTCAGAGTTAGGGATTTTGAAAATATTATTTTCGTTCGAATAATACATTGTTAAAAGCAGCACTATCCAAGAGCGTCATCCTAACTTTCAAACTGTTAAACGAGATTAAGTAATTATTTCCTGAGTGGTCTAGTCATTCGAGAAGAAGTATTTCATTCTAAAAATATGAAATTTCCATGTTTAAACGACGAAACACTTTCTTTTTATCTTTTATTCATTATCCGAAATGTTCAATCGATCGGTGAATAAATATTCCCAAGCCAAAATCAAAGACATAATCTCGCTTTTGTCGTCTTAACGATTACCTAATCGCGTTAATCTCTGAAATTTCACCGAACAACCCAGCGCCCGGGCAATATTTATGTAACTCGCCTCAGAACAAGCAAACTGAAATCGCAAGTTAACTTTTAGGAAAACGTTCAAACGTTGTTCAACAAGACAAATTGAGAGAGTTGAGAGAAGCCTCCTGGAGGTCAGTAGTAATATTTACAGAAAGTATCGTGCATTCTTTGCTAGTTCTCAGTCAACCATGTCCAAGCTGGGTGGTTTATCGACTTGTACTACTTCTGAATCACTGTTGGACATTCCGTGATGTCCGATGGTTAACCCCGTGAATTAGAATGGCATTCGCTGTTTTTATTTCACTAGATGTATCTTCGGAACAGAGCAAGGTGTAGTTTGCATGTGTATACACGCTTCTTCTGAATATCAATTTGAATGTTCAAGGGGTTATTCGACATTCGAAATTCGATATTCAACATTGGACATTCGAAATTTGACATTTGACATTCAAAATTCGGCATTCAACACTCGATATTCGTACCGACAAGCGACGGTTCCGACACGACACAAAGAAATGCAAGTCGACGTTCGAATTTTCCAGAGGGCTTGGAGCGCGTGAAGAGGCAGGAGGATGCGAAGAAGGAGGAGAGCTTCGAGAGTGAGATCTGCAAGGACAAAGACGCGGGCGAGTGGTTCCGATTGGTTGCGGGCGAGGGTGACAACTGTCGCGACGTGATCCAGTGCACCAGCTCCGGACTGCAGGCGATCAGGTGTCCGGCCGGCTTGTACTTCGACATCGACAAGCAGACC